TCGTCCATTGCATTTGAGATTATATGCTTACTTTCGTTTTCCTGAATATTAAAATTTTGCATTTTTATCAACGAAGTTGACATTATTTGTTGTTTCAAAAAAAAAAAAAGATTTATAGCATTTTTGACTACATAGTACATAATTTATTATATTTTTCTGCGTATTGCATGCTCAGGACTTTTTTTCTTTTTATAACAGCAAAACTGTTCCAGACTTTACTTCCTGTTTCGCTTTCTTTTTAAAGGGGATAATTAATTATTTTATTTTAAGGATATCTCTTTCATTGGGGAGATATCTCTATAATAGAGATATCTCTTTCAAAGAGATATCTCTATAACTTTAAGAGATATCTCTCGCTTAAAGAGGTATCTCTCTCTAGCTTATAAGATATATCTCTCCAACAAAAAGAGATATTGAAAATCTAAAGAGATATCTCTTTAAACTAAGATAATCTCTCTATACTTAGAGAGAGATATCTCTCTTCTATTTACCATATCAAATTTTCTTAACATCATGATTTGACATATTATTCATTTCTGAAAAGTAAATAACGCTTTATACTTCAAACTATTTTTCATTTGAATTTAATGCTATTGTTGTTGATGAGAATCAATGTTTGGAATTTTAAAATAAAAATCGTGAAATTTGGAGCAGAGGGATATTGCCCCTAAATGCTATTGTTGTCGATGAAAATGAATGTTTGGAATTAAAAAATAAAAATAGGTGAAATTTGGAGCAGAGGGATATTTCACCTTAAACGGGGTTGTTGAAATCCCTGTTTTAGTAACTTATGTGTGAGTAGTCTGCCTTGCTTTAAAAATTGATCACACCCGGAGCATGTTCTTGGGGAGCGACATGAATATAATTTGCAGGTGATAGCTACTCTAAACTGATAAATCGGTGTATCTGAATGTCGAGCTGAAGGCCAATTAAAGCAAGTGTTTTCTTCTCAAATTTCAAAGATAAACCTTACTTTTTATTTCTTTTTTTCCCGCACAATATTTTATTTTATCAGTCTGTCATTATTTACACAACGCATGAAGCGCTTTGTTAATGAAAAGTGGATTATATCTGCATTTGAATATTTTATAAACGCAAATTGATGGATTTAAATATAGAAGGCTCCCTCATATGCATGACAAAATGTCAACTTCCCATTCGAAAAAAAAGTATGTGGGAGGAAGTCAAAAGTTAATACGTGAAGCGTCAAGTGAGTATTACAGTTGAATTCTTTCAAAATGAGTGATTACATCGATATCTTCAAGAAGGAACAACTTCTGTTTTTCATCGATTTTTGAGTTTTCAACTAATGGATAGCCCATATATAAATCCTTGTAAAGAATCAGTGAAAAGCAGTCAACAATAGGCATACTAAGAAGTTTATTCAAAACAGTTGAGAGATGCCCCCAAAACAGTTAGCTCAAAATTGGCAACTGCCACCATCTCTCATCATTGAGTTAACCATCATTTGCAGGTCAGCTTGGAATTCTCGTATTGCTAATGGTAAATGCTTCTATGGACTATAAAGCAAATACTCCATTAAATCATGAAGATATTCTTGCATAAGTGAACATTATATTTTTTCTGTGCATTGCTATTAAAAAACTAATTCTGATTTTGAAGTAAATGATCAATAGGTGGCATGTAAGTCCTTAAGTCCAGACATATAAGACTGCAAACACTTAGTTAAGTCCGTGTTCACAGTAACAAAGAATCACAATTTTCGCGACCTTGCTTAGTTCGTGGAATTCCATTTCTCATAAAAAATGTCATAAAATATTGCAATCCATGTGCACGGTAACAATGAATTACAATTTCCATTACTTTGCTAAACTCGTGGAATTCGGTTTCCCATAAAAACACAGATTTGTTGTAAAAATATATATTTTTGTAAGTTTTAAGTCTTTTTTCTGTTGAGAGATTCTGGCATAAATAAACTATATATACTGATCAACCTTAAAATGAATCCAAAGATAAAGAAAGAAAGGTTGACATCAAACGGGGCTTCTAGATTGTTCCCTATAGACCATGCAAATATACTGCCTCCTATTGTGGGTGCCAAGGTTCTGGAAAAGATATAAAATACCGAACAATTATAAATACAGTAAAATTTGTCTAATTCGGATCCTGTGTAATCCGAAATCTTGCATAATGCAATGTTAACAAAAAGTCAATTTAAGTAAAACTCTTTGTTTAAAATGTTGTTTAATTCGGCCAATTTCTCTATAACCAGTGGTGCCCGGATAAGATGAGTTTTACTGTATATATTTTTCACTGAATGTTATGTTAGAGTAATAATTATTGTAATCATTTACCTGGCAATAGCCGTGGAAGTGGTGGCGATTCCATTGACGGAGCCCGCCATGTGAGGTGGTGATGAGTTGTTAATGAAGAGTGACGATGCAGTGAATAAACAACTAGTCATTATCTTCTGTGGAACAATCAGAACAAGGAGGATAGTCCACAGTATGGACGGGGAACTGGAAAACCAGAACTACGAAAATTACTTAATTAATACAACACCAATATATCACGATGCATGACTTGTTGTAAGCATGTACAATCATTTAAAACGGTTTATGTTATTTAAAGATAGGCAGATACTGAAGGTTTTTTTTAATATGTTTTGTCTGTTTTTATTACTTTCTTTAAAACTTCAAAAGTTCAAAGTTGTGAATCAAACAAGATGAAGACTTTATTTTCATAAAATTATGGAGACTTCACTAGAGTGATGGCTTTCACGTTCATCAAATCAACTTTATAAAAAAAAAATTGACAATGATTTTTCTAATTCGTCGTTTGGGAGTTACACCCCTGCAACCCTTGGGTACAAAGTTGACAAAAAAATGTTAGTAAGTATAAGAGATGTTTTTAATATATATTAACTTTAAACATAAAAATGCACTTTGCAATATCCAAAATAAAAAAAAATACCCTATTATTCAATGAAAATTCAAATAAAATTAAAAAGAGATAAAAAAAACCAAATGAACGAATGTATGTAAGAACATGCTCTTGCATATCAACTGGGTCAACTGAATCAACTGGGAGACATAAACTCCGTGTGCAGGTGATAACGTATATTTCTATAAGTAAGGGAAGTTGATGATAGAGAGTTTGAAGCCATCCCGTTTATCATATAGTTTTATAGTTAAGTTACCACTGGCGTCTTTCTTCTAGTGAAATATCCAGATATGAAACATATTTGTCTATAAGTGATGAATTCTGGTACATGTTCACAAACCTTGATTCAATAAGATGTAACATGGGTGTAACAGTCATCAAGATTCCATTAATACAGCCACAGATTATAAATGTCTGGAATGGAAAAGGTATAGTGAATGATATAAAGAATTACAACCAATGCAAATTAATCTGACTGAGGTATTTAAAAAATAAAACAGCTTAAACTGTGGCACCTGATCCCACCTCTGATGTTTTGGAGGTCCTAGTTTGCTCTGCTCCTATTTTGTATTGCTCAATGGACTTTTGAGCTTGAATACTGTTCTCATCTCCATATATTTCATGGGGAAAAGTGTTTATTAAAAACTATTTGGGGATAACGTCTTCCAATGATCTGTCAGAATTTGGAATTCCCACTAGTACAAACTGCTTTCTGTTACAGAGTTGTAACATACCAATTTTGTATTCATATGAAGCAGAATTAAAAGAAAACGTTTTACTTGTAAAGAAAGTATCTTGCTTTGGCCTTCAGATCCATTTTCAGATATCGATGATATTTTATCAATAAGCAATATTTATTTTCATTCCGACATTTTTTTTTCAAAATATACCTTTAATACCTCAGTCTTACACTTACGTCCGTTTCATATTTGGATATTTTACCCCAAAAAGTTGACGCTCATGGTATAAAAATAACAATAAAACTTTAAGACAGACATGATGACCTTTTTTCCGTCAACTTCCCTCATGTAGCAATACCCCGGTATACCTGTACAACATGCATAGCTGTATGATGGAGTTTATATTTTCCAGTAGATACAATACGCAAGAGAATGCTCGTCATAAGAACAATTTCTAAATCGAGGTAAACAATTTAGCAGTAAGTCGGATGCCGACTGACGTATTTAAAAAAAGTTTGTTATTTATACACTGGTCAAAGAGCACATTGCGAGTGTTACCGATTTGTATTGATTCAACTTTTTTTTTTAGCTCACCTGAGCCGAAGGCTAAAGTGAGCTTTTCTGATCACATTTTGTCCGGCGTCTGTCTGTAAACTTTTCATATTTTCGACTTCTCCTCAAGAACAGCTGGACCAATTTCAACCAAACATGCCACAAAGTATCCATGGGTAAAGGGGATTCAAAATTGCTCAAATGAAGGGCCAAGTCCCATCTCAAGGGGAGATAATTGAAAATTACTGAAAAATTAATGGCATTTTTCAAAAGTCTTCTTCTCAAGAACCACTAGGCCAGGAAAGATGAAACTTATGTGGAAGCATCAACTTTGTTCAAGTCATGACCCCCGGGGGTAGGGTGGGGCCACAATAGACGATCAAAGTTTTAAATAGGAATATATACTAGGAAAATTCTTTAAAAATCTTCTTCTTCTTGAGAACAGCAAAGCCATGATCCGTCATATTTATATGGAAGCATCCCCAGGTAGTGTAGATTCAAGTTTATCCAAATCATGACCCCAGGGAGTAGAGCGGGGCAATAATGGACGATCAAAGTTTTACATACGAATATATAGAAAAAAATCTTTAAAAATCTTCTTGAGAACAGCAAAGCGATGATTGATCATATTTATATGGAAGTATCCTCAGGTAGTGTAGATTCAAGTTTCTTCAAATCATGACCCATGGGGGTTGGGCGGGGCCACAATGGACGATCAAAGTTTTACATAGGAATATATAGGAAAAATCATTAAAAATCTTCTTCTTGAGAACGCAAGGCCATGATAGGTCATATTTATATGAAAGTATCGTCAGGTAGTGTAGATTCAAGTTTGTTCAAAATATACATTTCCTGAATTGATTTTTCCTAGCCACAGTGCTCAAGTGAGCGATGTGGCCCATGGGCCTCTTGTTCGATATATTTTTTCATTACTTATATTACAAGTTTTATTAAGTAAGTATATTTCATCATTATCTTTTACCTTTGCAACAACAAAAAATGATATAATTTATATTAGTCTGTTTGAGGTGTTAAGGGCGATTCTTGATATGGATGCCAAATATTCATCTAACAATTTGTTTTTTAATACCATTGCCAGAGGCTTGGGGGTGGAAAACAAAAATCGTCAAATTAAAAAAAATATTATTAGGTATTTGAGTGTGAGCCAGATAAAGATTAAAATTACTGAATTTAATCCAAGGGTTTTGATCTTATTTCAAGAAATTCAAACTCTGTTGCATCTCTTCAAAAGCCACATTCAGTGAACGAATCAGCAATTGTCAATGAAGACATGATGGCAGACAACTGCAATTAAATTCCAAAAGGATCAATTTTTAAATGTAAATTATAAGCAGTAAAATGACTTTTGCAGGTAACACCATTATATTAATCTCTTAAATGATGCACATTTGATAACAGGTGAATTATTCGTTATTCGTCTATTCTGCATAAATCAGGTGGGTGTTTCTCAATTCGTCTTAGCTGTTAAATATAGGTAAGAAAAGGTTAAGGAGTACTTGGGAATTTCTTAATAATACTACAATAATTTTAAAAACAAACATTGAGGAATGACTTAAGACTTTGTAAAAATGACAATAATGATAAGTTAATTACCTCGACAAAAATATTTTAGTTAACTATAGTTTACTATAGTTAAATATTATGTTGTTTAGTATAGCATCAAAGTTTTTACTGTAGTAAATCAAAGTATTTTTACTAATTTCAATTGTTATAGTATATGTTCTTCAATTCATACATGGATATTTTTTATATTAAATATAACAATTTCTTGTATATGTAAAGATCAGTTTAAAAGTTTGTATCACTAGCATCAGATTTAAGAATTTTAAGCTTTGAAATCTCGAAAAAAAGTTTTTACTTTCGTTAACTTTAAATAAAGTTAACTATATTAAATTTTGTACGAGAACTGTTCAATAGATAATGTCATGAGCTCTATGACGTACAACATAAAAATGACATTAAGCTTGAATGATTAAATCTTTAATGAATTATTTACAGTTTATGTGACCACTTTTCATCACATAGTTTATTTTGTGAGAAGATGGAAAACTAATGTCTATTTTATAGACACATGAGCAGGTGGATTTCTATGAACAAAAATAATATAATGGGCATCAAAAATGGGTTCCGTCCCTGGCGACAAAGACTTACAACAACCAATGTCCTGTTTGCCAAAATTCAACAAATTATCACTGTTGTTTGATTGACTTTAAGACATATAGCAAAATTTATAGGCATCATTTTGGGGGTAGTTTACACTGCTTTACAGAAACATTTGACAGTAAAAAAAGCTTAGTAGTTAATGGTCACACTATGTTTTGAAAAATGAGTGAAAACAACAGAATGTAAGAATGTCCAAACAATTATTTTAAAAATCAAAAATTGTATAGATTTCCATGTTTTTTTTCTTTCTGAAATTCAAATACAGTATAGAGTGAAACTTGAATCCATTGCTGTAAACCCTCGAAACAAATTTAAAAGAAATATAACACAAGTTAATATTACAAATAACTGCAAAAGGAAAAAAAAACAGTTTTATACTGTAGATTCCTAATTATACGAGAGGAATTAATTTCCGCGTGATTTCGCGAGAAGCGTCATTCGCGAAAAACTATTACTCGCTATTATTCTTATGGTGATGAAATCCATGTAAAATCTGTTGATCAGCCGTCCATTAGCGAATTATAATTCTCGCGATTTGACAATTAAGAGCCAGTTCGCGACAATAAGTACTCGCGAAAAATAAAGAATATACAGTATGTCATTTTGTTAAATGTTAGTGATCTTGTTGTTCAAATTCTTATTCGGGGAGGCAGTTTAATTTCTGGAGAAGTCTAGAAAGTAATTTTTTGCAAAAAAAAAAATCGCAAGGTTAATGAGAAGATGGAACCAGAATCAGGACGCCACTACATTAAATTTCTTCATGACAGCGTCCAAACCTACACGCCATGAAGAGTTAAGGAGTTTTGGTGATAAACGGAAAGTTAATGTTTTGTCACACCAACAATATTCGCTAGATCTTTCAACCTTTGACTTTCATTTTCCAAACTTGAAAAAAAAAACACCTTTCAGAAAAAAGAAAGAAGCCCAGGATTATGCCATATACGAAGGGCCATACTTGTGTTCTAAAAACAATCAGGAATTGGAGAAAAATGTTACGTACATGTGTTTTAATTAAAAGAGAATATTTAAACGAAATAATTCAGGCTAAATCATTGAAAAGCTTTTTTTGTTTCATTCCGAGCACCGATGACATTGTTTATTGAACAGCCCTGGTATACAAAGTATTTGCGGTTTGAAACTATTCTTCAGTCATTTTACATTTGAAAATATAAATGATAGAAAGGAAGAATCAACTTAAAGGTAGCCTAGGAATTGATTCATGAATACTGTGAATGAAATAATATAATTCAATAATTTACTAGTATATGTTTCATTAAAAATAATGCTTTTAATACTGTCTTTTTGATAAATAATAATATATAAATACTTTATAACTTTGAAGATAAATTAACATTTGCACAACACTAAAATATGTACATCTGGAAAAAAATATGCAAGAAAAATCTGAAACAAACACATTTGATGAACACAGACTAATGTTTTCTTTGCTCATTATTATGTCTTTGTTTCATGTCCATTTTCTTTCATAGTATCATATAATCAGTTTCTTTTGTTACACTAAGCTTTTTTAAATGCCGAAGTTTTCCCTGCTTTATTTAATATCAAAGATTACCTTTTTCGTTCCAAATATCCTATCAAGAAATGGATAGATGAAAAGGTTGAGGATCAACATGGGGAAAGATGATAGGCCAAGAACCATACCAATTTCATCTGTCTCAAACCCTAAACCATCTGTAAAATATATGATAAATTTTGCCATAAATAACAAAAAAAACTTTTATAGAAATTGCCACAATTTAGATATGATATATTAACTCTCAAATCAAGCAATGTTGAAATAAATGAAGGAAATATGGTACCATAATTTGTTTTGGTTGATGTCCATATCGTAAATATTTCCTCATAACCAATGGACGAGAAAGAAAAGACTGTGTACAGAAAAATAGCCTTTCTACAATCTGGCGTACTGAAACACAAATGAAAGAATTAATAAAATGGAATAAAAACAATATATTAATATAGAACACTGTGAGTCTCTCCATTAAACTCACCTAAGAAAGACTTAGGACAAACAAAGAACATATAAGACTGCGCCTAAAAACTATTAAGGTGAATGCATAAACTTTCATTTCATATTATTTGTGGAACATATTTTTCTTTAAAATACACTATTTTCAAAATAAGCATAGAAACAAAAAAATCATCTTTCCAATTTTAGGGAGGGGTTGATAAAGTTGTAATTTTGTTTTAATAGAAGACTTCCGTAATATAAAAAAAACAGCCATTGAAATATTGAGACAATTAGAAAACATTGTAACCTTAATATTTCAAAAAGACTTGTACTCTTGACTTCATTGAAGATGCACTTGGAGTTTTTCTTTTCAACTCTTACTGTCTCCTCTGTAGTGTTTTCTGTCGGCGTTTTCAACGCCTTGTTCCTATTTAAGTCACGTGACCTGCGCAGATCTTGACAGGACTGATATAGTTTGACGTTATATACTGCTCTGTCTGTATAACAGTGGAGATCCTCCATTGATAAAGAGATCATTCTATCTGTCTCTTTTGTCTGCTTCTGTTGTGTCTTGTGAACCAATTTGTGTAACTCTTCAGGTTGTTCCTCTACGTCTAATTCTAGTTGTCTAAAATGAATTATTTAAAGTGTGTTTATACTTCCGATTGTCTGTATTTTGTTGCTCTTTGACAACTTACTTGATAAACCATTACATTTCTCACTTTCTGCTCCTAGTCTCCGGTAAAACTAAGAAGTCGACAAGGATAACCACAAAACAGACACATGCCACAATAAGACTCGGGAGAAGGTACGGAAAATGGTCAAACACACCATCCTTTTGAAACATAGAGGGATATCTAGAAGCTGGGTTGGACAAAATTCCTGCAAACAAGAACATATAGATGGGATACGATTATGTCAAGATTGAATAATGTTCTGTATAGCAAATTGTGAAAGTGTCAAAGTTATCAACATTTTGGAGGGTAAACTGTGATATATGACAATAATTTAAACTTTTATTTGTTTTTTTTGGTCCCATACCCCCAACAGTTGGCCCCAGTATGATCCCTGCTCCCCAAGACATGGCCACGATGGACAATCCGGTAGCTTGATTAGAATCATCTGAAACCTCGTATAGAATCGCCTTGGAAATGCTTGCGGTGCCTACATGTAATTAAAGAATGTTTTCCAAAAATTATTGAAAGACTTCATATTTTTTAAGATAAAATGATTAAAAGTTTCAATAGGGAAAAAATATGACTACTAAAGGAACTTTATAGATAACATCATGAAAAATTAATCCCAATAACAGGGTTAGAACTTTGAAGGATGATCGAAACTTGTTTCTGAAAAGAATTGCAAAGGCAATCTTATTTATTTCTCTTTATCAGTTTAAGCGGGTACATAACATTTCTTAAATAATAATCTGGTAAAAATATGAATTTATTTACCATTAGCTAAACCAGCTAGAAACCTTATGGTAAGAGCCATGGGTAAATTAGAGGTAAATCCAAACAGCAAGCAGAAAAAGCCATTTCCAAATATCGTCATAAGCATGACTGGTCTCCGCCCCATTTTATCAGACAACCAACCCCAGAAAAAGCTGATGTAAAAATGAATGAAAAATGGTTTACATTACAAAAAAATACATTATAGATTTATTGCACGTATGCACACAATCTAGAGTATTTATAGCCACCATTCATTTAAAAAAAGAAATTTATGTAAAATGTACATTATGCAATAACATGTACTTATTATTTAATCTCTTTAATTCTTTGTAGATAAAAATAAAATGCCATCTCGTGAGTTGGAATTTCCCTACCTTCCTGCTGCTCTGCCAGCAAACACCATGGAGGCCACCATTCCTGCATAGTAACCCTTGTCTGTCTCTTGGTAACCAAAGAACTACAGGAAGATGGTTCAAGTATATTGAAATGCCTTTATAAAAGAGTTAAAAGTCGCACTGAAGGAGCATGTAACTTACCAAAATCATTTCTGGCAGGAAAGGAAACAGAAATGTAAGACTGAGTGTTCCAGTGAACTAGGAAGACAAAGCGAAAAAGAGGTACGTATTATTGTATATACAATATATGTTCATATATCGATTGATGTTTTAATAATATTAACAAGTATTCCACTGTATTGTCATGAGTTGATTCAGCATAGAGGCTTCCATTTGTTTCCGCTATGTAAGATTATTTTTTTTCTAAGTTCAAAATTGTCAATTTACCATTGAGATGAATACAAGACCAATGATTTTCCAATTCACAGGTGTTGCATCTTTTGGCGTTATTCTGATTTTATTTTTAGCTCTCTGCCATATGGATGACGTTTTTCTCCTAAGACTTTTTCCTCCATTATTAGACCCCTCCATATCGTTATTATCTATTTTTACTGTTGAAATCCTTTTCATACCAACACAGTTTGTTTACAGCTGTCGTGTTTCTTTATTAATGTAACGGTCATTTATAACATATATTCCTATAAAGTAGAAAAAAAGACAAATAGCCAGTGTTTTTAAGCAATATGAAGATTCGTATAAAAATAGCATAACTCAAAGTAATGATATTTTAATTCAACTGATTATCATGTTATAGGCAGTATCTGTCATGCCTTTATTTTGTTTAAGATAGGTTACCGGTATTACATAATAAAACAATGGTATCAAAACAATGGACAATGATCAAGTATTATTGCAAGTGTCAATGAGTAAGCGCCGATCCCCAATCTGGCATTTGGTGCCTATTTCATTTATATTCTTTCATATTTTTAGGTCACCTGAGTAAACTCAGGTGACCTATTGCTATCTGTTTTCGTCCGTCGTCGTGCGTCGTGCGTTGTGCGTTAACATTTGAACATTTTCAGCTTCTTCTCTGCAACCACTGAACCAATTTCCACCAAATTTGGCATAAAGCATCTATGGGTGAAGGGGAACAAAAATTTTGAATTTCATGATCCCTGCCCCCCTGGGGCCTGTGGGGTGGGGCCAAAACCACTAAAATTAGTGCAATCTTTAAAAATCTTCTTCTTTACTCCTGGACATCAAGCAGTCAAACTGTTTGTATGATTGTAATCAGCAATGAGTCCTCTACCACAATTGTGAAATTCATGGCCCTGGGGTTAGGGGTTCTAGTACTAGGGCGGGGCTAAATAAGTAGGTAGTGAAAATGCATTATTTCTTTGAAAATCTTCTTCTCTGCTCCTGGGTATTAAATAAACCAACTAAGTACATAGTTAAGATGAGCAAGAGTGCCTCTACCAAAATTGTGAATTTTATGGCCCCAGGGTCAGGGGTTCTGGTGTTAGGGTGGGACTGTATTGATTATATAGTGAAAATACATGAATTCTTTGAAAATCTTCTCCTCTGCTCCTACGAAATAAATAAACTAACTAAGTGCATAGTTAGGATGAGCAAGAGTGCTTCTACCAAAATAATGAATTTTATGGCCCCAGGGTCAGGAGTTCTGGTGTTAGGGTGGGACTATTGATTATATAGTGAAAATACATTAAATCTTTGAAAAAAATTCTTCTCTGCTCCAGGGTATTAAGCAGATGAACTACCAATATAGTTATGATGGACAAGGGCCCATATCTTCCACAATTGTGAATTTCAAGGCCCCAGGGTCAGGGGTACCATAGAGGGGGGGGGGTTGTACTTATATACTGAAGATGAATGAATGGTTTGAAATCTGCTCCTTGGTATTAGTCAAATATCAAGGCCTAAGGGTCAGGGGTTCATGTATGGTAGGGGCACTACTGATTATTGCTGAATATTACTGATTAGTTGAAATGCATTTTGTGTTCCCTTACCCTGCGTATGGGTATTAAGTAAACAAACTAAGCAACTGCTAAGTGTATAGTTATGATGATCAATGGTGCCTCTTTAAAAATTGTGAATGCTATAGCATCTGGCTTAAAACATGAATCAAATTCAATCACTGGAAAGTTGTTCCATAATGCTCAGGTGACCTATAAGGCCCTTGGGCCTCTTGTTTATTATGTGAATTTTAGGATAATTGTTTGTGACCTCGCTTAATGACAAGCATGTTTTAAAAAAATCCAAAAAAGACGGAGTAATAAAATTTGTCAATTCGAGATTCTGCAGCCTTTATTCATTTGTATTTATAGTAATAAAGAAAGTATATATACACAACATCACATGATTTTTCAAGGTTATTCACAGCTTAATATGATAATTGAAACTGTTGTCGAAAATCATGTGATCCTGTGGCCCTATTTTGACATGATACCAGAATATTTTTCCTTGTGGACAAGGAGGATCTGAAGTATCTCCAGGCTGTGATATACTTTTGACCTTTCTGTCTCAACGGAACAAATATTCTGGATTCCTATCTTCAAACTTCGTGTGATTTTCTTAACAAAAAAGAAGAAAAATGGCTTTCTACCGCGACAGACAATACCTATGGCGTAAAATTGATCTGAACCCTTTGAACACGGTGAGAAGATCAACCCTTTGTAGCCAAGAGGTTGAAAGGATGGATTAAGAAGGTACTGATATAATTCTGTTAAAATGGATGTAGCACATAAATCATCATTTATGAATCATTTGAAGTTAAAGCATTTTTCCATAACAATGTTTTGATATCAAGATATTACATACTTTTAAGCTTTAATTTGAATGTATATGCTTGTTAAATCTGTACGCGTCAACTACTTTGGCCAAATTGTCTTATAGATTAATGAACAAATAATTATGGATAAATAAAAAGTTATAAAGATCACTCAACTTTTGCACGGATTGAAAATGAACTTGTAGATCTTTTTAAAAATATCTTTTGTAATTTTTTATTTGTCTGGAATTGCCTTAATGGTTATAAATGTATTAAGCTTATGCAAGATTTCCATATATGTCAATTAGAGTTCAAGGGCACTAAAAGTGCTGAGAATTCTTTTACAATCACTATTTCATTTAAAGAATAAACATCAATCAATCAAATATCATTGTTATCAACAAAGGTCATCAACCCCTTGTTAACTTATAATACCTCGGAATTAATTTTTGAGACATTTTGGGTTGAAAATATTTTTTATAGTTAATTCTTAGATCTGCAAATATTTACTTGCTTTTCGATGTTTTTCAATTGGACGATAAAACTCTCCAGAAAAGCTCTTAATTTTTTTTTTATTTTAAAGGCCCATAGATCTCTACAGTCATCTCAATTAGAATAATTTGATTTAAACCGTAAAAAGTATTCTCTTTTAGCTCCCACGGATCCAGGGTTTGTAAATTCTACGTCAATCTGATTCTTGAAAAATTCCAATTCCAAAATTTCAATCTTAAATGTATATTATATCATATGGTTAATTTGACATGCTTTGGATATGTGGATATGCTACTCTGTAGAGAATAAGTTTTTAATCTTGTTTTTGCATATTTTTGAATTTCTTAATTAAGGTTAAACCCCTGCTACAGCCCTGTCCCTGACATTTGGACAACGATTAAAAAAAGCTGAAAAAAATGTCCAGTTTAGATATTGCTAACACTATTCTTGAAAAGACTTTTCTTGGATATTCCAGTGTGTAATTTACATTCCTCTTTTTCCAGCTCTAGGGACCTTTGCTATATTATCATAAAGCTTTCATTCAAGTTTCCTTCCTGGCCAGTGGTTTGTAGAAAAACATAGGACCATATTATTTTTTAACCATCTACAAATCTCCCCTTGGGGACTGACATGATGCTTGATCCTCTGTCCAATGATGTGAGCCAACGTTAAGTCAAATTGGCTTTGGTGTTCTTGAGAAGAATAAAATTTTCGACTGACAGATGACCGATAAACATTAAATAGAAATACTAATTGAACTTTTAATAATGATAAATATTGAGCATAAATTTATCCAAAGAGTTGAGTTTATCTTATTTTAGTAATCAAATTAAACTGGACATTTTAATCTATGATATTAAATACAATTTCTACATGACTATGTTTTTCTTTCAAATTCATACATTTCTCATTTTCATGCTATTTTACATGCATATAATAAAATTATCAACTTTAAAAAATTGTTTCGATCATGGAAATTAAATTTTGAATTGAAACAAAAATAGATTACTCATCTGACAGGTTAAGGAGCTTTCCCGAGTACCTGTAGGTATTCCAGCATAAAATGAAAAAGTGAACATCAAATATCTCATTTTGTAAGAAAATACTAAATGACTCAGGTAGCATGATTACCGGCTCGTGAAAAGTCATGAAAGTGTGCGTGAAATTACAATGGCTTGGAAAGGGCTAAATTAAAAGAAGAATTTCCTCCAATAAAACACTTTCCTTGTAATTATAATTTAATGAAGTGCTGACAATATGAAAACAACAAAAAAATTGTTTTTTACTCAGGAAACAATAAAATTGTTCTTAGGATAGGGAAATTGCTGAAAAGAAAGAAAAAAGTTTTTATATGCTTTTCGCAATGTCCTGAAAGATTAGAATCATACATGTTTACGAAGATGTACAAATACATGTACAAATAAATTCAAATGCGAGTTATCTGTAATTCAATAAGTAATGTAAAATAAACATTTCTGTATAATTATCATAGAGTAAGCCAGGGACTCATTTAATAGAGTTTTTTTTTATGTACATTATATATGTCTTCAGTTACGAAAGTTTATTAGGATCAATCTGTAGAGAGAAAAATTTTTTAAAGGCGTTATAACGCATTTATTTCATCCAACCATTTCATCAAATTTGATCGGGAATATGATATTAGCTTTAACTTTTTATTGTCTTGTAGGTGGACATAAGAGAAGAAGATATCTGGAATTCAAGAACACAGGGTGATAAAAGAAATGTTATAGAAATTTGAAAACTGTTTAACAAAGCACATTTTCCTAAAACCCTGCAATAAATATGCGAGTTATTCATAACAGCTCATATAAACTGCTTTAGAGATTTCTATCACAAACATGTTTATAGCCGCGTGTCCTGTAGCAGGTTTGATTTTTTTTTAAATGAGAGGATGATTTTTAAAATTTTTTTTTTTTTAGGATAAGATAAAAATACGTGTATAAGTAAGAATATGTTTCAAATTTTTCAAATATACTATCATAACAGATTCCTAAATTCTTGGACCAGCTTTTAATCTTTTTTTGACATCTCTCAAATAAATACATGTCTTTGAAATCGTCTCCCGCTGATTAAGTTCTTATGAGTTGTACTAGTTTTGAGTTCTCGTTTCTACAATGGCTATAGTTTCCATCTTGTTTTCACCCTAAACTTTATTTAAACATTGAATAATATTCTTGATAGTTATAAATAAAAAAAAATACTTACCTATTAAATTCAATCACTGAGTGCTCACTGTGTTCTTGCAAAATCTTCAATTAAAAATTCTTCCATATCTTTCAACATTTTAACGTTAGAAAGGCCTGGCAAAATTCCTTCGCTTTTCTTATATTGGCGTTCAATGAGGTATTTAGGTACTGAGTATGCAACTATTGGATGTTGGTCTTGATTTTGACATACATCTGTATATTTGACACCGTTGACAATGATCCATTATAAATCAACAATATGCAGGAATTACCTGAAGTGTCTACAGGTAGCCATTATGGGAAAGAGAGACAAAAATACAACAGACATGGATCACCATTTGTACTCCAATGACTTCCTTACAGTGTATACAAAGAATTTTTTATTCTCACATTCATTCTTCAATATCGAATAATTATTGGAGTTGATTTAAATATAGAACATTCACATTCCAATTGTGTGTACATGAAATATTCGATGTGGTCTAGTACACATCTTGTTTGCGAGTATGTTATGCAAACTCATCTGTAATATTTCTTTCTTACAAAGCATCAAGGAAAAATGCTATATATCTGTGCCCTTGAGTTTTTAAAATGAATGTTAATAGTTGAATTTAATTGGGTTGATTTAGGAGGGGCGTTCAATAAATAATGCATATATAATTTACATACCGAATATAGAAGTGACTGAGTAAGTTTTCACGATCGCAGACTTCTATTCAGGAACTCCACATATTTAAATTTGTCAGTTTTTTCAAATGATTCTGCAGAAAAAATATCTTTCATACATGTAGTAGGCACGGTGCCCTCTCTGAGTTGAAATAAGAAATAAAAATAGTTTTCCAAGAAGTTTGAAATTATTATTGTTTAGGTTGAAAATCACTGTAGGTTACACAAAGATGTGATTTCAAAGTATGGAAACAGTCTACCCTTTTACTCATTTAGTAACTGTTTTATTGCTTTACTCATTTTTTAGATTACCTTTTTGCATTATTTACTATGCTAAAAAACTAACCTTTTGTCATATACATGAATCTTTTAAATTAATTAGATTATTATCCTGTTAAACTATCAACAATGGTCGATTCAATGACTTTGTCAGCAAATACAATCTACCAATAATTCGAATGCTGACTGATTTTTTTTTTTACACAAATTGTTCAGTCATTATTTCCACACGGATCTCCGTCTGCCCGAGCATAAAAAGGAGCACACTAAAGTTGGTTTGACAATCCGACGTTTTACTGCATGAAACCTGATATCTCAAAATAAAAAAAAAATTTAAAATAGTTTTAATTCACAGTGGCCGGTAACATACTATATTTGATTTTCACGTAATTACTATATAGACCTTAGGGTTAGAGCTAGGGTTAGGGTCAGGCTGCAAGGGTTAGGGTTATGTTTGGGGTTAGAATTAGAGTTAGGGTTAGGGCTAGGGTTATACAAAAATGATTCCCTTTTGCATACATGGTTATAAAGTAAAATCTAATATACATGTAGTACTGTAGAGTATGCTACCAACCTCTGTGATTTAACACTAGATTTATTTTTGTCACCTGAATGCAGCTTTATGAAATTAATACACATTTGGAATTAGTTATTTACGGAAGCCCATTTAGGACCTATCAAAAAATATTTTTGAATTCGTTATAACGATTTTTAGAATTTGTTATAGCGAATTTAATTTGTTATAACAGATTTTCAGAATTCGTTATAACGAATTTAATTTGTTATAACAGATTAATTGAATTCGTTTTAACGAATTTAATTTGTTATAACATATTCATTGAATTTGTTATAACGAATTTAATTTGTTATTACAGATTCATTGAATTCGTTATAACGAATTTAATTTGTTATTACAGATTTATTGAATTCGTTATAACGAATTTAATCTGTTATTACAGATTTGTTGAATTCGTTATAATCAATTCAAGAATTTGGTTATAACGAATTCAATAAATCTGTAATAACAGATTAAATTCGTTATAACGAATTCAATGAATCGTTTATAACAAATTAAATTCGTTATGACGAATTCAATGAATCTGCTATAACAAATTAAATTCGTTATAACGAATTCAATAAATCTGTTATAACAAACGAATTCTAAAAATCGTTTATGACAAATTAAACTCGTTATGACGAATTCAATGAATCTGTTATAACAAATTAAATTCGTTATAGCGAATTCAATAAATCTGTAATAACAAATTAAATTCGTTAAAACGAATTCTAAAAATCGTTATAACGAATTCAAAAATATTTTTTGATAGGTCCTAAATGGGCTTCCATAGTTATTAAAATAGATTGAGAAAAATATATTTGACAAATATAACTCTTTTTATAATGTCGCATGGATATTTCGATTTTACAGAAAACCCAGATAGCATGACTATGTTGGGCCAACATTTGTTAAAGGTTGTATGGTTGGCGTTGGGGGAACAACGTTGGGCCAACGTTGGACCAATGTTACCAAGTCAATCTTCTCGACCATGACGGAATCCCTATGTTGGCCCATCGTTGGTCCAACGTAAGCAACTTCCATTCACTTTAGTTTCCAAAGAAGGAAGGATCATGGCGTTGGCCCAACGTTGGACCAATGTTTATAATACACCCTATAAGAAAGTGTATTTACAAGTTGGTAGTAGTATGTTGGCCCAACGTTGGCCCATTGTTTGTAATACACCCTTAAAGAAAGTGCCTTATCAAGTTTGTAGTAGTATGTTGGCCCAACGTTGGCAAAATGTTTGTAATACACCCTTAAAGAAAGTGCCTTATCAAGCTGGTAGTATTATGTTGGCCCAACGTTGGCCCATTGTCTCTAATACACCCGTACAGAACGAGTCCTATTAAGTTTGTAGTAGTATGTTGGCCCAACGTTGGCACAATGTTTGTAATATATCCTTAAAGAAAGTGCCTTATCAAGTTGGTAGTATTATGTTGGCCCAACGTTGGCCCATTGTTTGTAATACACCCTTAAAGAACGTGTCCTATTAAGTTGGTAGTATTATGTTGGCCCAACGTTGGCACAATGTTTGTAATACATTCTTAAAGAAGGTGCCTTATCAAGTTGGTAGTATTATGTTGGCCCAACGTTGTGGCCCATTGTTTGTAATACACCCTCAAAGAACGTGTCCTATTAAGTTGGTAGTAGTATGTTGGCCCAACGTTGGCACAATGTTTGTAATACACACAAGTGTTATTTTGTTTAGGTCTTCAAAGATGGGATATTTATATTAGACCAACGTTGGCCCAATTAATATACTGCCAACTAATTGATGGTGTCAATTTTTTAATTAGCTGCTGAGCTTTACGTTGGGACAACGTTGGTACATTCTGAAAAAATTAAGAGACTTTCTATGTCCATGCTTATCATTGGATGACTGCTTTTGTTTAGATATGATATTTTCAACATTTTAACTTTGCACTTAAGTGATCAAGCACCAAAGAGTGTTTTATTCTATTTTTTGAATCGTGTATATGCTTATTTATTTGTAATAACCCAGATAGCAGAACACCGTTGGCCAAATCTTACATTATGGTCCTATTATCTATGTTTGGTTATCTTGATTGGGCCAACAATGGCCCAACATGGAATATTGATGGCTGGTTATGTATAATTGTGCGCTAATGTTGGGCTTGCTGTTGGCATTATATCATAAAACTATTATCATGAGAGAAAATATTTGTTTGAGGATTGTCATCGGCCCTACGTTGGCCCAATATACCAAGAATCAGACTGAGCATCATGGGTAGAAAACAACCGGGCTACTTGTAATATCCGCGCCATTTTTAATCTGACACGAGCGTAATAAGACTGATACCTTGCATATCTGCACTCACTTTGTAAGTATTAATAATATGTTTGCCTCGGCACAGCTGAATTAACGTTTTGTTTTTAAACGATATCATGTACAAATCTGTGTAAACACGGGAAGTGCAGAGGCCAGGTGCTGTTGGGTCAACACTGTACAGATAGCTTGCTAACATTGGACCAACGTTGGGCCAATGTAATCGGTTACATCGGGCCAATGTTGGCAAATGGCATTGACCCAATTTAAGTTTGCTCGACCCAATGTTGGCCCGATATGCTGGGTCAACGTTAGCCCAATGTAGAGTGTTATTTTTACAGATATTGGCCCACCGTCGCGCCAACATTGGCCCAATGAATGCGACATTGTTGGCGAGACGTCAACAAGAACATTGGACCGATGTTGGCAAATGCCGTTGGCCCAGTGTCATTTTGCTCCTTGGTCCAATGTTGGCCCGATATATTGGACCAACATTGGGCCAATGTATATAAACATTTAATTGTTACAAATCTGTATATTAACAAATCTGATTGTCTCTACAATCAGATATAAATCTACAACCAAACCTACTTGAAAAATCAAGCTAGCTAAAATAAAATTAAAATTCTTATAATTTATCGAAACAAAATAAATTATCAGTGATAAAAATTTTTGTTTATATACAAGAAAAATAAATGAAAGTATAAAAATGTGTTTTGATACAGTTAAAACAATTAATAATTTGCTCCTTATTTGAATTGAAATTTGTGTCTAGTAGAATACATTTCCGAAGTCTACCACTTAATTTACTTATATACACTTAACGTCGAAAACATGATCAGACATTTTGAAAATATTGAATTTGCTGAAGTTAAAACAAAATTTATTCAGTACTAAAAATTAATTGGGTTCTTTCATTTAAAATTTGTTTAGTGAAACGACAAATTTTCAATACATGTATTTTATATGGGGCAACATTGAATCAAAATTGTTTTGATGATGATTATCAAGCGTATAATTATTATGCATGAATGCCTTCATCACGCAAGCTAATCACTTAATCACACCATGAAACAAAAAAGACGGTTATTCCTTAATTGACAGCTTAAACATATAGTGATATACTTGTAAATTTAATCGACGTATGTTTACTCTTTACTGAGAAAAGTAACAAATGTATTAAGTACCAAATATTACAATTTTAGTGCTACTGGAGATTCTAAAAAGACATGGAGAACACAATCAAAGAATGGCTAAGGTATGCCAAGGACAGGGATGAGGGAGGAAGAAACAGAGAGAGGAGAAAAG